ACATAATTACACTTAGATGCTTAATTAATAGAGATGTAAATTTTTTTTATTAAGATAATTGATTCAAAATCGAAATTGAAACAAATTTTATTTAAAACATTTTTTGATAAAAACAATAATTATTGAGATAATACTTTTGATAGCATACTATTCAGAGGGAAATTAAAATTTTAAGTTTCCAAAAAATTTTATTAACGAACACTGTTCCAAAAGTAATTCTAAACAAATACTGTTAATAAAAATTTTTGATTTGATCAATAATTAAGAACATAACCTCAAAAAAATGTTTATATATATATTTTTATATATTTTTTATTGAAAAAATTGTTTTAGAATTTAATTTAGAACAACTTTTGTATGAAACTTTCTGCTGAGAACGAGCGGAGGGGGGAAATCGTGTCGTTTTGTTACAAAAGTTCCGTGCCCTAGTTATAATACTCTACCTATAATAATAACCAAGATAATTGCACTTGCTGGTTTTACGATATTTTCAATTTTGGCCTCTAGGGGAAAAACAAAAGACGATAGCGCTTTGAGGTTTTTGGCATTAGCAGTTTCTCGAAAAACGAGATCATGACATGATAGCCTATTCGGACATCGAATTTGAACCACCCTGTACTGTACAACTTTCTGGAGTAAACTACAATGTTAATTGGACGTCATTGACAAAGATATGTATTGCTGTGATTTGAGTTATTAAATAATATCGAAATAATTTTTTGATAGTGAATTGTAAAATAGGTACAATGTAATTATCGAGGTATTAATAACAAAATGTTTATTTTAATTGAATGAATGCGAATTTCCAGCCGGTTTGTTCGAACTCGTGGTGCTGTTGGGGCATCGAGCGCTTATAATTTTGTTGGTAAATAGCGAGTGAATAATTTTTGTCGACGTTTTCGTCCGGCAGGGTACGAAAATTAATTTACGAGCCGACGAACGACGCGGTCGTTTCGGTTTCGATTGGCGGAACCCCGAAGCCCACCCCATGAAAGCCGCGCGCGTTGCGAATCAAAAGTTAATTTGCAAACCGGTGCATACCAAGCGCGCGATTTTTTTTCTGTGTTGTCGGTGCATTTTATCGCATCGAATGAATTGTTAAAATCGTTCGATGAGAGAAACAATTTTCTACGGTATTTGTGACAAATTTTATTAAACGATATCGACAATTTAGAAAAAAGTTTTTCATTTTTTAATTACAGCCCTTTTATTAATAAAAAATAAAACAACATTATTTTGCTAACTGAATTATTTAATTAAAATTCAAATTTTACGTACATCAAATTTACAAGCGATCATTTTAAGTCTTCGTTTACAATTGCTTAAAATCATTAATTTATTTACAAAGTTGTAACCATCGTCATTTCATTTTTCTTCGCTAACATTTAATTTTAAATTCATGTTTTTAAGCGTAATTATGAATAGTATCTGTTAAGAAAAATAATTGTAGTAATTCTTTTAAATAATAATACATAATACAAGTAGTGACTAGAAAACGTATCTTCATCATTTTCTTTTTGGAAATTAATAGAAAAATTATTTAATTAATTAGATGGTTAACATATCCCTTTAATTATTATCTTATGCCACCTCCAAATCCGACGAATCTTCATCACTAAAAACCGACGTTGAAACCGACTGTTGATGCTGTTGTTGCTGTTGATGTTCGACAATGTTCCTACAAACGTCGTCTTCTTGTAACTTTCTCAACCGTTCTTGTTCTTCACGTTTTTGTTTCCTCCACTTTGCTCTTCTATTTTTAAACCAAACCTACGACAAAAAAACAAACATTTTTCATAAATAAATATTTTTTATAATTAACATTTTCGATTTTATTATTAAATAAAAGACATGAAAAAGTTAGAGCCGAAACTCGAAGACGACGACGGGACGTTTAAATATTATCTCTGTCGTTTCGGAAACGTGGAGTAGTAAAAGAGACGTTGTTGGGTTTCCCGTTCAATCGGCGGTTAAAGGGGGATGGGGTTCTTGGGGACAGGGGTTTCCCGCAGGATAAATAACACGGCCGAGAGTAAAGCAGTTTAGTTAGTTTAGGAAATGGAGCGGGTGTTTTCGTAGCGGGATCCTCGTCGTCGTCGGTCCTCTCCGAGTCCTGACAATTCCCGTTCGCCGCCGATTCCCTCGGTTTTCAGTTCGATTTGATACAAAAATCCCCCCAGCATGAGATTTTTATTTTTTTACCTTTTTACTTACTTTTAAATTCAAAAAAAGAAATCAAACGTTATCGGTATTTAGAATGAAATATGAAGGTTATAATATTTGAATTATTAAAAAAGGGTTTTGAAGTGAATTTAAATCAGTTTTAGTCACAAAAAATAATTAATCCATCTTAAGCCACGTTTATATTGAATATTTGCTGAGATTTATTACTACTTTATTAGGTGGACACCTCACTGCGACCATAGAAAAATTTATTCTCCCTACTATTTTCTGGTACATTCAGCGCTCCCATGGGGATTGTGAGGGAACTAATTAGGTTAAAGCGCGAAATTTAAATATAGGTATTTTTATACCGGTTTATACCAATACTTTATTTTGAAGAGGTCAAGTACATTTTACGAAGAAATGCAAAAAAATATGAATTTATAGTTTTTCCAAGATAAAATTCATAATTTTAAATATAATATATATTGCTCTCATTTAAGAGCGCCAATTTATCTATCGGATAAACTTATGAAGAGGTGGTAAAAGTGGCCCTAACTTATTTAAACACTTAACTAAAGGATATAAAACACTAAGCCAAAGGAAAGTAAGAAAGAATATACACTGGGTTATCACCAGTTATCACACCAAACGACAAAACAAAAATGTGACGTTTGCTTTCACCTTTGAGTTTGACGGGTTTGACGTGACATATAAATTTTTCTATGGTTACAAGCGCTTTGTTTGTGTAGATAATGCAGATTGCTACAAATTCAGTCTACAACGACATCCAATGGATTGTGAGGGTACTAAAACCTGGGTCTACATTTTTATAGTAGTGAGATTGCACACCATGGT